ACTATGAAATCCCCACCTTTTGTAACCTTTATTTTTAAGAGTGTGGCGACAAGCGATGGCCGTTTCCATTTAACAAGACAAACTGTGTTATAAAATTCAATTGATCGCAAATCACAGGCAATCAGAATCCAGGGCTGGAATTTCAGCGTGGGTATTGCGCATAATTTTAATAATTCCTGCAGGTCTCGCGCTTATAATGCGGTACGTTCCCGCAAACATCTATTCACTTTAGCATGTAGGTTATATGAGTAATTTAATCCACACATATTATAAGATCAAAACAGTCATTTTAAAACTTTCTGCAAAATGTGATTTTACAAACAGTGAGTGATTCAAGCCTCGAGACGGTTTGGGAGTCGGGACAGTTGATGGAAAGTGTCGCTTGCACATTTGGGCCAGTGTTGCATCTTCACTAACGTTTATCATTTGCATGTCTTTTTAGGTGTTACTAATTTAAACATTCAAGCCATTTTAAACTATTCAGTACTTGCACGCTCTCCGAGAGATTCTGCTGTTCTCGCCGCCTCACAAACCGCTCGCGAGTAACAAAACTGAGTTCTTTTTTACAGATTATAGCGATTTAATGGTCAAAAATACACAAAATTATGTCAAAATTCTCGTCTCTGCGAGTATCCTTGTAAACACAGTTGGTTTAGTCTTAAATAAACAACAGTTGAGAAAGAAAACGCATGTGCAACAGTATAATGGATCCGTGCACTACCTCTTAAAGTGACAGCAGCCTAATATGTGTCTGTCTTTAATGTTGATAAAACAACAAAAGTTGTTTAAAAAAGGATTTATCTTATGTATTTAATTTACACAGGACTAAAAGGCCTATCCAGTGTTCTTTTACATTAATTTAATTACTTTTTAATCAGTTTCTGTAGTATTTCTGTACCTGAATACTATAGTGTTAGACCTACCTGAAAACGTTACTCTTTTTTTAACTTCATATCTTTATTCTATTGTATTTATTGGTGCTACTTTGTGTAAACTCTTGAGCAACAAAATTACCCTATTGTAAAACACAAATATAACGAGTGAGCAAACACAGGTATGATGCAATTTACCCCCCCCCCCCCCCCCCCCAATACCCAGTTTGGATGAGATCTCTGAAAACACATAAAACACAGACAGTACCTTATATTTCCATGACGTCGGTGATGCTTTCCCAGAATGAAACCCATAGTGATGTTTTTCCTGCATTCAGACTCAGACATGAAAAACAATAGAGAGACAGAAAGAGATGTGAAAAATCTCCAAATTTGAAAATAGCCAGCTTTTCTTAGTTGAAACATCACAAAGATGTGTGTGTGTAAAACGAACATCAGTGTTTCTTTATGTCTGTAGGTGAAAACAGAGAAGACTTTCTTCACAAAGCTTTACCATACCCAAATTACCATTTCTGTTCTTAGAAAAACTTTTGTTATACAAAACTCATATTTCTGCCTCTATATTCAGTATTGTCTAATAACTTCCAACAACTTAGTGGGATATTTCCTTGTCTGGTGGCATTTTTTCACTATTTTCATTTTGGAAAGACTCCCAGGGACAAAAAATTCCCTTTAGTTCTACTTTAAAATAAGCTGTTTTATATTTTCGGGGTCCCACAATCTCAGAGAATGTGCAAGTGAAAATAGTCATAGTAATTTTCAATAAACCTCTTATCTTCCCCTCAGATTCATTTAATTTGTTCCTCTGATTAAAAAAACCCAAACGCAGTAAGCAGATATTATTACAACTTTAGCCATCAGTTTGTCTCACAAAGTAGATATGTGTTGTTTAGTAATGTGGTTTTGTGAATATCTAGTGTTTGAATCAATCAATCTTATCTTAGCATGAAAAAAATGGAAATACAATGCATTGTAATTTATGTTTTATATTGGTGTCTGTCCCCAATCAGAATTAAACCTTTATTTGAGGAGATAAATGCATGTTATCAAGTTAAAAACATTTTTTTATAATCTGTTGCCATATGATAAGGAAAAAACAAGAAGCATTAATCTGATACACTGAGCATACTGCATGTTTTAAGTTACTAAAATGGGCCTTGAAAGGGTTCAAACAGAACAGGCTTTTGCTGTTACTGTAATGTTTTACTGTAATGTTTCATGACGGACATGATTGTGATTACATTTATTTGGTAAAGGCTTTTATAGTGCTTTTTGGAAACCGAATGTGGAACCAACATTGAGTTATTGCTAAGGCAGTGCTTCAGTTTTATACAGTTACCATGGAGACAAGGGCAGGCAATGTTTTGGAAAAAGGTTCACTTTGGGAAACTTTAGTGGCCCGAACCTCACCTGCTCTTCTGTGAAACAAACAACAATCCAAAGAAGTAGGGCACTATGACCAAAAACAAAATTACAAAAAGACTAAAAACACTGTTTAAAGTCCCCATGAATTCAAAATTGACCATACTTACTTTGTTTGCCTAAATTGATCGTTTTGTGGTAAACAATTCATCCATGCAAGTCAATCCACACAAAAAATTTTTTTGCCTTCGTAATCTTTAATCAAAATCAGAAATTTCCCCTCCCCTCTGCGTTGGAGGACCTTCCCTGATGACGTAGGTTTGACGGTTTGGGCGTCTTCTTAACATCCGTAACCACGCCCCTCCAACTGACAGTAGACAGGCTGAATGAAAACACCTACTTTTTTAGATCCAATCAGGTGCTAGTTGGGAAAAAAGCCACGCCCACTATTTTGCCTCATTTAGTATTCCGTTTCTCTCGGAAATACGTCACAACACTGGAGAAAAGTCGTTTGCAACTTCCGGTTCACGGGGACTTTAAATTTGAAAGTCCATTGCCAAGTCAATTTATTTCTTCCTGTCAACTTGTGTCAAGAAACCAAAAAAGATGATTGAGCCTAAGTGTTTCCTTGAAACCAATTTAATTATGAATTAATAATAATATATATATATATATATATATATATATATATATGTGTGTGTGTGTGTGTGTGTGTGTGTGTGTGTGTGTGTGTGTGTGTGTGTGTGTGTGTGTGTGTGTTTATTCATCATAGTATGCGCATAATTAACTGGAACAATTAGGCCTAGCTAAAATAAATAATGGTTGATATATTTAACAAAACACCAAAAGTTACCATTACCATGATGTTTTGGGTATCAAAAAATGTCATTGACCCTTTTCACATTTCCGGGTTTCTCGTCATAGTAGTTGGGGAAACTTCAATAGCGGTGAATGAGAGACTAAATTAAATAATCTATATTGTGTGTTCCCATTTACAAAAATGGCAAAAGAAAAACTCCACAATATTGTTTTCACAACTTTCATAGAGAGAAAAAAAAAAGGGAAGACTTCACATAATGTAAAGTATGTTATTTTAAATGAAAATATAAACACCGTTGCAGTTTTTACGATGCTGTTGACCGTTAAAACGCGTCATCACAGTCTGTGGAAACGGTCCATTGCGATTTTCAGGGAAAACCCGTCTCACTTTTGGTTTATAAGTTGTCCTATTCACAGAAAAAAACTTATAATTTGTTTAAAGTCTCGGTAAACTGAATCGTTCTGTGTCTTTATACCTGTTCTTCGACGCTCGCATCTTTTTAATCTGTGGCTCCCCCTCAGACAGTTAATCAGCTCTCCCTCGCGCGCGCGCGTCTTGGCGCCGCCCCCTCCACACTACATCAGCTGACCCGAACTTTTCTCACCCGATCAGAAGACACGGATCCACCTATACGAGCTCTTCTGCGCGGCTTGACGGTCCATTCAAGGGTCGGCTGTCCTGTCCTGTCCTGTCCTCTGCTGGGGGTACCACGGGTGAGCGCCTCGGTGATGTCCTTCAGGTCCCAGACTTGCTGCAGGTGAGCTTTTGCATTTATTAGCGTTTATTTAGTCATGCGAAAATATATAAAACTAGAAACATATTTTATTGGACTGTCCTCCTGGGTATAATACAAGGTTTTGGATTTTTTTTAATCATATGCTAATTTAAAAAAAAATTTTTGTATAATATGACTTGTGTTTGTTTGTTTGGTTTTTTATTGTATATGATATTTGTATTTTTGTCATTTGATTTTTGCCATAAAAATAGCCTTAGATGCTGACATGGCTTTAAATAAAACAATCTTATCTTATATAAACCTAGCCTATATAAAACTATGAATCAGAAAGGTTTAATGTAAATGTATTTTGCTGACGTATTCAGATTATTTTATAGTGTTGTGCTTAGAGTTGTTGTTTTTTAAACAAATTATTTATATATAAATTCATCATGTATTTTATCTTAAAGTTTTTCTTGTCAGTTTTTTTGCAGTTCTGTAATGGGATACAATTCATCTGCATAACAGGTGGTGGGCACAAAATAGGGGACAATGTGTTACAATACTGAAAAACGCTTTATTTTAGCTCATATTTGAAGAAAATAAAGGTTAATCCAAAAATTAAATTTCAGTTATCATTTACTCGCCCTTAATTAGTTCCAACCCTGCATGATTTCTTTCTTCTGCTGAATACAACATAAGATATTTTGAAGAATGACGGTATAACCAAACAAAAAAAGAAATACAGCATGGAAGTGAATGCGGCCTATAAACGCTTGGGTTTCTTATTCTTCAAAATACCTTCTTTTGTGTTCAAGAAGAAACTCATGCAAGTTTGGAACAACATGAGGGTGAATAAATGATGACAGAATTACAATTTTTGGGTGAACTGACACTTTGAGTTATTTAACATTGAGGTACAGGCTGTAATAATTTCTTGTTTTGCATCTGTTTCACTTTGTTTTGCTATACTGAAAAGTCTTTAGGCTAATTTATGACTATTATGAGCTTATGATTTAAAAAAAAAAGAGAAATTGAAGTAGTTACTAAACTAAATCTGAATATGGCGTTGTGGGCTTTAATAATTTTCTGCGTTTGCCCCCCCCCCCCCCCCCTCCTCTCTCTCTCTCTCTCTCTCTCTCTCTCTCTCTCTCTCTCTCTCTCTCTCTCTCTCTCTCTCTTTCTCTCTCTTCATTTATCTCTCAGTACCGAAGTAAGACTCTTCTTTGTCTGACTCTGTGAAGAGCTGAAGGATGATGCCCTGGACGGTCTGCGCTCTACTCTGCCTCCTTCAGGCTGTGGTGGGAACTGCAGGTAAAACACACTTTGAAATGCCCTCTGTAACACCGAGAACAAGAGATTATAAAGATGAGATTATTTCTGCGATGCAGGTGAAAGAGAGAGCAGCCAGACACATTTCTCAAGGGTGCATGTGAAAGCTTGAGCAGACGTGTGGTGATTGTGTGTGTGTGTGTGTATGACGGGCCTGTGAGTTTCATTTGCGAGTTGGACGTAAGCTGTTATGTTAAATAAGTGTGAGTGACTATTAGGGCGTGTGTTTTGGAGTACAGTGGTGGTACCATGAATTATCACATTAATAATGACGTCATTGTACTCTATTGTAAGAATGCCAATGATAGCAAATTCCCTGGTTTCAGTGAAAGAAAATACAGCACCAGAAATGTTTTGTGTTTTTAATTAATTCAGGCTTGGTTTCACAAGCAGAGCTTATTAAACCAGGATTATGCCTTCAATTAGGATATCTAACCCTCATCCTTCCCTCGTGTTTTGTTTTTTGTTTTGTTTTTTTGTCCAGAAAGCTTATTTTATTTCATTTTGATCATGTTTTTTCTCTTTTTTTAATGCGATTTTTTATAGGCCTATATATTTTTATTTATTTATTTATTTATTTTACATTTAAATTACTAGATTTGATCGATAAATAAGAAATAAATAGTAATTTAAGCACATTCCTCACATTCTTTCAACTTAAATTCAAAATAACTCAAAATTCACATCTTACACTGGGTGTCTTTGCCGACCTCTTCTGGAAAAATAATAATATAACATGATATTTCATGACTATTGCCACTAGATGGCCTTATATAGCTCTATATGGAGCAAATGAACTGTTCCTCTGGGTCCTAAAGTCAGTTATTCTTAGTATTTTTAGGTTCTTCTATGTGTCCTGAAGCATTCCTCGCATTCCATTCATTCCTAAGGGGGTCAAATTGACCCGCGAGCGAAGGATTTGTTACTTTTTTCAATTTCAACCACAAAATTCCGTGTTTCGGATGAGACGTTAAACCGAGGTCCTGACTCTCTGTGGTCATTAAAGATCCCATGGCACTTCTCGTAAAGAGTAGGGGTGTAACCCCGGTGTCCTAGCCACATGCGTCGCCAATCATGGCCTCCTTTCTGTTATATAAATAAACTTGGTCTGTGTGTCAGTGTCCAGCAGGGAGCTGCAGTGCTCCATGTGGCCTGTGGAGGCGCTGCACCCGGTCCAGGCTCAGCTGGAGCGCTTCGAGGCGGGAACGGGCTGTGCCGCCAGAGAGGGCGGAGCTAAAGAGACCCATGTGATTTCTGTAGGCAAAGCCTCCAATACACAGGTATGAGACCTCCGTCTGTCCGCTAGTTGGTCCCGTCGATGTGCACACGTCCCGCTCAGGTGTCCTGTCCACAGGTGACGGTGGTGCTGAGACCTTTGACCCTCTCGCGGCCCGTCAACCGCCCGGTGATTCTGGTGCTGAGCTCCCAGCATGCCGTGCGCTGGGTGTTGGAGAACGAGGGACTCCCGCAGGACATCAACGTACTGGTGCAGGTGCGTGTGATTTACTCGATCACATAACTGTTTATTATTTATGCTATTTGTATTCATATTTTTACTGTTTATTAATTTTATTATTACATAAATATGTTTTGATTGGGTGTCATTTTGTAAATTGTTGATTTGACTTGCTGACACTATCGGATGAGAACAAAATTTAAACTGAATATTGACAGTATTAGTATTTATTGCTAATACTATTTATTATTTGTGCTATTTGTATTCATATTTTTAGTTTATTAAATATGTTTTAATTGGATGTAATTTTGTCAATCTGGCTTGCTCTTCTTTTGCAAGAAAATACTATTTAAGTCTTTCTACTTACAAAATTTCACGTTTAATTTAATGTGTTTCTGCATTTCTTAGTGGTAGTTAATTGTATAATTTACTAGTTATTTCTGAGTGCAGATTGTTTCTAAAACAGAGATGGAGCTGTTTTATATCTGAAATCAAATTCATGATTGTACACTGTTATTGAACTGAATTGAATCAACATTGAACTGATTTGAGCTGAATAATGACACTTTTCTTCTGTAAAGCTGCTTAATAGCTGAAATTCAAGTCATTTCATAGTTGATGGATTTTGCAATTGATGTTATTTTCCTGTTTATTACCGTGTCAGGTCAAGTCACGTTTATTTCTATTGTTAGCCTATTTAAAGAGCGCGGTAGTAATATGCGTCTGTACACTTTGTCCCGTAGATGTTGTGCTTGCGCTTTAACCTCGCGCTCGAGCAGATCCGTTTCCTATTCCCTAATATTTCCTATTTCGCAGTCTATTTCAGTTGCCTCTAAGTATAGCAACGCGCCAACAATGCGCCTGAACACACCTGGTTTTCAGACCAGCAGCCCATGGCGCACAAATGGGCACAAATGCATTTGCTATTAAAGGGGTCATATAATGGTACATGCACTTTTACAAGTTGATTGTACTGAAATGTGTGTTGGCAGTGCCTGTACACAAACATCATATAATGATAAAAATCCATCCAGTGTTTTTGTTTTAATCTCCTTATATGTTTTCCCCTGCCTCAAATCGAGCCGTTCGTTTTTGTGACGTCAATAAAACGGACGCCCCTCCCACGATTGTTGATTGACGGGAGCGTTCAACACAGACCCGCCCTCGCACATGAGGTAGCTGTCAATCATAGTATGCGCGGCGCGGACCGGCGCGGTCATTGTTGATATGCTGGAGCACTGTCTATGAGCAGAATGGCGTCGAAGCGATTGTGGTGTTCTGTTCTTGGGTGTAATAACGAACACAGTCATTTTAATGTTCCTAAATCCGAACCGCTGAAGACGCAGTGGCTGAGTTTGTTTTCGAAGGGAATATTCCCCACGAGCAACGTCAATGCTTTCATGTTTGCGCGAATCATTTCACACACCAGACTGCTTTATAAACGAGGGTCAGTATAAAGCTGGATTTGCTAAGAAGCTTTGCTAAAAAGGATCGGTACCAGATATTCGTGTTCCTGCTGAACCTCCAGAAGAACGGAAGTGAGTGAAACGTTTTATTAAACTTTATATTAATATATTAATCTTTGCAAATCGCTAGCTGCACGCTTCACAATGAATGCATCTAAGGTTTACACTCAGTCAGGGTACATTACGGCATGTTTTCTATGTATGACGTTCTCAATATAAATTCATAATTCCACGTTTATACTGAACAACGCGTTATGGTTATTGTGTTATTGTGTTACAAACGGTGTATGCACAGAACAGAGGGGCGGAGTGAGCGCAGCTCATGATCATTTAAAGGCATATGCACTGAAACGGCGTGCTGAAAACAGAGCTGTTTTTGACCAGGTAAAATAAGTGTTTTCTTACAATACTAATGAGAATTTTTAATTAAAGTATATAACAAACTTTTAATTTAGACCCTAAAGAATCATATTAGCTTGTACAAAAATGGCATTATATGACCCCTTTAAAACAATGGATGTGAAAATGATAACTGCGTAGGGCTGAAACTAGCAAAACACACTTGCGTCGCGCCTTGAGCTGTATTGCTCCGGGTGTGTGATAGGGCCCTCAGTGTGAAAGGTCTTTACATTTGCCAAAAACAGAACTTTTGTTTTTATCTGTTTTTTTAAAACACAAGCAAGCGAGAGAAAAAGCAGGTGAGAAAAAGCTACGCGAAAGTAACGCATTGCTTTCCATTTATTAAGGGAGTAACGTAATATTGAACTTTTAAAAGTAACTTTTCCCAACACTGCTGTCCCAGGTGTCTCTGAACTCCACGGTCGAGTCTCCGAGTCTGTCGATCCGCGTGGCTCAGGTTCGGTCTCTGCCGCGGCGTCCTCGGGTCCTGCTGCGCTGGATCCTCCAGAGACACGCCACCCTCTCGTCGCTCACACACACTGTGCGCGCAAACCGCGTGTACCTTCATCTGGGAGAGGGTGAGAACAAACACACACATGCAGGATGGTACTTTGTGATGGTATTCACCCACCCACATGAAAAAATACTATAGTATATTATAGTAAAATTACCATAAGTTACCATATGGTTCAAAAACACTTTGGTATAGAGTAATTTGACTATACATCCTAATGCAGTTCCCATCCGCCTGCAGATCCCAGCATGCCGAGCCAGTGCCGCCTGCAGTCTCTGTTTCTGTCGCAGAACTATCTGTCCTCAGAGATTCAGGATCAGGAGGTTCACGGCTGCATGCCGTCAGCGGAGCCGGTGGAGACGGAGGTGCACATCATCCGGCTGTGGTCCTCGGGCTCCAGCCTGTGCGGGTCAGTTCAGCTCTCCAACCCGAGGGGGAAAACTCTCAAACTGAGACGAGACGCAGACACTAAAAGAGTGAAGATTTAAAGATTTTTAATGTGAAATGCACATAAATAGTATTCATAAAGTACATAAGGAATATTGAAGATATTCATATACTGTATGTATATATAATACATACATATTTATTAAAATGAAATAATACACAAAATAAGAGGAAAATAAGAGGCTTACATAAAAAGGACAATAATAATAAAATAAATGTTTTAATACATTTAATTTATATAATTATTTATATTTGTATTATATTTATTTATATTTAATGTATATATATATATATATATATATATATATATATATATAGCCGGTGCAGGATTTAAAGAGCGTGTTAGTAATATGCGTCTGTACACTTTGTCCCATAGATGTTCTGCTTGTGCTTTAACCTCGCGCTCGAGCAGATCCGTTTCCTATTCCCTAATATTTCCTATATAATTTATCACATTTAACATGATGGTAATTCAAAGTACTTTACATAATAAATTGACAAAATTATGTCATGTAATGAACACATAAAATACATAAATATTTAATGTAAAATTAGATAAATATTATTTCAAATACTCATAAAAAGGTACATTAATAGAAATAAGTAAATAACAATAAACTTTAAGAAATAAAAATGAAAGAAATTGATAAATGTATTAAAATGAAAGGGGAAATGAAAATAAAAGGCATACATAAAAATGACAATAATAATAAAATAAATGTTTTAATAAAATTATATATATATATATATATATATATATATATATATAACACCTTTAACATGATGGTAATTCAAAGTATTTTTTCATAATAAATTGACAAAATTATGTTATGTAATGATATAAATATATAAATATTTAATGTAAAATTACATAAACTTTTAAAAAAAGGTACATTAGAAATAAATAAATAACAATAAAAAGTAATAAATAAAAATTGAAGAAATAGATAAATGTATTGAAATGAAAGGGGAAATGAAAATTAAAGGCATACATAAAAATGATAATAATCAAATAAATGTTTTATTGTAATAACCCAAATAATGCATTGCATTTCTATTCATTGGAATAAAAAGCAAGCTTCATTTTACTGCATTTAAACCGTTTAATTCCCGACCAGTGCTCCATCATAACAGCACTGCTGTTTTCCGTTATTATTTAACAAACTCGCAATGTTTTCTCTGTCATAATTGACAACCCATCACAGATGCTGTGGAAAATAAAGTGATGAAAACAAGAAAATAAAGTAATCTCTGTCTCAGGTCTTTGCAGGTGGAGGTGTCGGTCTCTCTGCTGCCCCCTGTGGCTCGTTCAGGTTACCACAGGATTGTTCTGATCCTCAGCAGTGCGGTTTCAGTCAACTGGGCTCTGGTGGCTCCAGAGGTCAGAGGTCACGTCAGGGTCTATGTAAGGCAGAACTTCATCCATCTGTATCTCTAACCTGTGCGCTTGTCCAAACACTTTCTAAAGTTGTGTTTCTTTCAGTCGTCCAACAGCGTTAGTCTACCGTACAGAACTCAGGCCCCCGACCTCAGCGTGACCAGCACCGTGACCTCTGACCTCCACAGCACCCCCGACCTTCTACAATGGGCCAATCAGAACGGCTTTCCCAAAGTGACCTCATACACCGAGGCTGATCTGGCCAATCGCTTCATGATCAAGTTAAGAGAAGGTGGAAAAGGTGAGTGACATTTTTAATGTGTGCAACATGTGCATTATCTGATCATATGAACATAAAATGCTAAAAAATGTGCAGTATAGTCAAAGACTATAGATAAAGAAAGACGGTTCACTCCTTTTACTTATGAATGGGCGAAACTGCAACGCGCAATACACTTTTTTAACGCTATTTGAGCATAAGAAACAACATTTATTGGACAGTTCATGTCAGATTTTGTTGCTGATTTGAAATAATTAATTTAATTGTGAATTCTGCAAGTAGTTTTTAAGAAGTCAGGATTGAACAGACTTTCCTTGATATCACACTTTATGAGACTGTATCCCACAATGCAATGCATGAAGGCAAAGCCATTGTTTTTTCATGCACTGGTCAATTTTGAGATTTCGTGTTATTTGCCATTTCATAACGTGTTGTTTCCGACTAGTGCTAAGAAAACATCCAAAATACATTTAAGTGTTTATTTTAGTAGATTTGATTTATTGTTGTTTTTAAAGGTTGTGAGTTTTTCCCCAGCACTTCAGCAGCACTTACACACACCAAACTTTACAGTGTTATTCCTGTCTATATTCCGAAGCCTTTTACTGAGGGGTTTGTTCATATATCATTCTCACTGATTTATATAACATTTTATTCCTAAAAACATGCTGAAAAGTGTTTTTTTTTCTGTCTGTTGATGGTATTTTCTGATTTATAGAGTGATACAAAAAAGATATTCAAAATCCCTTCTATAAAAACCTTTAACTATAATATGTCAACAAAATCAAGTAAGAATTTTGATCCTGGCTTTGTCCAATGTTCAGATTTATCTTCTGGAAATGTATGCAAATTAGCACATAGGAAATTAGAAAATGGTTCATTTGCGTATTTAAACATAACTTATCAGAAAACTTGTAATACAATTTTTTTTTTTTTTTGCAATTCTTAATATAATCAATCGACTGCGGATGTATAGTGATGTCTATTAGCTAATTGTGTAACCTTATTCACCTGAAATATCTTTAATTTGTTATTTTATTTCCAGTGGGATGCATGAACCACCATTTTTCTTCTGACTCAGATTATTCGATCAGAGTTTCTAAACAAAAAGTCATATTCAAATGCAAAACTATTATTTCTAATTAACATAATGAGCTCACGTGACATTAATGTGGCATACTACTGTTTTAAGCATTTATCATCACATATTGCCAGCACATTCACAGATTATTTGTCTAGAAGTCTTTAGCTACTATGTAGACAGCTCAGTGTCTCACTGGTTTTGTCGTGACACTCAGGCTCTGAGACGAGGCCCTCAGACGAGGAAGGGGTCATCGTGACGGATAGAAGCAGAGAGGCGTTCACATGGCAGTGTGAGGGCGGAGCTCTTTCTGTTGCGGTGGACACACACTTGCTGCAGGTGAACAACACACACTGACCAAAATAGTCTTCCTTTCTTTATGCTTAAAAGTGAGAGAAGTACTAGTGCCAGAAAAACATGTTTAAAGTATTTGAGGTCAGTAAGATATATATATATATATATATATATATATATATATACATATACATATATATATATATATATATATATATATATATATATATATATATATATATATAAATTGTATTTATTTATTTATTTATTTTTTCATCAAGGATCCATTAAATTGAGCAAAAGTGACAGGAAACTTTGGAAGCCTGTTTCCGCCATGGAATAATAATAAAAATTATATTTTTAAAAAAAATTATAAAAAAATATTTTATTTTATTTACGAGATGCTACTTCATAATTTCGCCGTTTATATCTTGCAATTCTAAGTTTATATCTGCAAATTCTGACAAAAGCTCAATTAACATTTATTTTTCTTCTGTGGTGGAAACCTAGTTTTCCTAGTAAAGACTTTTATAATGTGTAGATTTCTATTCCACATAAATGCTGTTCTTTTGAACTTTCTATTCATGTAAATATTTTGAAAATGTATTATGGTTTCCGAAAAAAAAAATATGAAGGAGCACAACTGTAAATCTTTGATTTCTGAAGGATCATGTGACTGACAATTTATTGGAGTAATGATGCTGAAAATTCAGCTTTGATCACAGGAATAAATTACATTTGCACACGGAAAACAGCTATTTTACACTTGTCATAAAAGTTTACTGTATTTTTTATCAAATAAATGCAGCCTTGGTGAGCAGAAGAGACTTCTTTTAAAAAAATTAAAAAAATATTTTTTTGACCCCTACATTTTTTAACAGTTGTATTATTCAAGATTACTCATATCACCATGTTTGACTAATTGGATTGTTTGAACACGCACAGATTTCGCCAGTGACGACAGTGACCCTGCGGGATCGTCACTGCAAGGCCGAATTTAACGGAAGCCATTTCCTGTTGGTTTTCCCAGTCATTTCCTGTGGGACGGAGGGAGAAATGGATGTAGCGAATGAAAGAGTTCATTACACAAACACGGTGAGTGAGAGAGAGAGACATAATAAACATAATTATAATTAAATATGGTTAAATTAATTTAAAAATTATTGTAATATTAATATACCATGTAATTCTATTGTTTTCAGCACAACATTCTGTTATACAACAGAAAAAGTGTAATTCAGTTTAATGCAGCATAAGTTCATAGTGACTACTGATTTGTCAAGGTCCATCAAATTATCATAAAATAGCATTTCATTATGATTATTTCTGTAGTGCAACAACTAAATCTGACCTGGGTCACGTCGTCTCGCTGTCACTGGGTTTGTTTGTGTGGTTGCATATGAAGGCATACACGTGTCAGCTGTAACCACACACCAAAAACAGATGACCCGGGTCACTCTGCACCGAACCCAGCAGAGAATTATCAGGTTTGGAGATGGGAACATCTTCAAAGGACAAAAGGGAAGAATGGTCCATTTCTTACTTGAATACACTTTAATTGTGTTTTGAAGGTGTTCCTGTGGAAACAAAAACCATCGGAGGGTTTGAACAATGAGACGGACTGGGAGGGTTTGGATGGGACGAGTCTGCTGGCTGTTCATGTGAGTGTGTTTCGAACCCTAGTGCACTAACTGTGATGGAAACTCGAACCTCATAACTGATTTTATGAGCACAGAATTATTTTTATCAAATGTTTTGGGTCAGTAAGATCGGGATTCTGGGACGAAAGCTTATTTTAAAATAGTTTTTTTGTATAGTTCTATTAACATTAGACTTTTTATTTATTTATTGAATTCTATTGATGCACCGAAATGTATTTTTCACTTCAGATATGTTAATTTAAACGATGCCTGTAGTAACTTCTTTTCATGACAGATTTATTAAAGAATAATGAAGTCACCAGGTTAAGTACTGTAAATATAAAATGCATATGTAATAAAATGCATTGTGCTGCTTAAATTGTAACACGGTTTTCACAAAAATATTTTTTTTCAGTATTCTTTGACATATTTTTATTTTAACCCTTTCACTGTAGTGGACAGCTATTCAAAAAAGCCATTTCTTGCATATGCATGGGTTTTCATTGTACAATTGCACATCAACCACTCCAGTGGACACTAGTGCATCATCATATACACTGCCATCAGGTGGTAAGCCTTTGTATCTGGATTTTTTTTTTTTTTTTTTTTTGGCTATATAGGACAAGTCAGAAATGCCAAGTTACTCCAAAATATCCATCCATTCCTTCTATCCTAGGAGACAAAAAAAAAAAAAACTACGTTGCAACATCAAGTAACATGTAAGGAGTCATATCATTGATACATTTTCCAAGTGTTGATTTTAGATTGGAAGGAAATTCTGATTAATTATAATTATTCTAAATTGGACATCATGCATCACTAGCTATATTTCAGCTTCATTTCATTCTACTACTGTGACTGTTGTTTGTGAAAATACTTAAAATGCAGTATCTTTTTTGGTTGTGAATAAATGTAAAATAAATAAATGTGTGTTATTAGAACGTAATTTGCAGTTCAAAAAAGTAATCTGATTGTGTAATGCATGTTATGTGTAATGCGTTGCTTTTAATTCTGCTTTTAATGCGTCGTTTTAATTCTTCGTTTCTAAACTAAAACGCAGTAGTGTGGATGGGGCCTAAATTTGCTAAAAATTATCTGATTATTGCGTTTGTAATAATTGAAGCTGTATTATGTTTTTTTTATATATATTTAATAGTTTTCACATGATTTTATATCATTGTATTCATTGGTTTGATAAATACACACAGTATTATTCTGTTTTCACTGTATTGTGTTTAATACAGTATCTCTTCAGTTAAAACCAGAAATGCATACCGTCCATCTGAAAATCTCTTTGAAAAATATGTTTAAAAAAATTGACCTTGTTTTTCATGCCCTAGGAGCAATAAAAACAAATAGGAAAAAAATCCTGAATGAGGTTTTAATAACTCATGCATGAAAGGGTTAAATCTATTTATTAGAAATCTTTCGCTTCTTAGTATTTTTGTCTTGTTTTCTAGGACAGATATCTAAACATTATTGAGTCAAGATACATGAACTTGAGAAGCAAAATTACAGTCTTTTTTTTCTGAAGTGAGTTTAAGTTTAAAACAAGAAAAACAATATCTGCCACTGGAGTCAGAAAAATAAACTAGTTTTCTCTTTAAATTAAGTTTATTTTTCTGACACCATTTTTTTGTTTTAAACTTAAACTGATAACACTTTACAATAAGGTTCATTAGTTAACATTAGTTAATGTATTAACTAACATAAACTAACAATGAGCAATACATTTGTTACAGTATTTATTAATCTGTGTTAGTGTTAGTTAATACAAATACGGCTGTTCATTGTTTGTTCATGTTCGTTCACAGTGCATTAACTAATGTTAACAATTACAACCTTTGATTTGAATAAAGTATTAGTAAATGTTGAAATTAATATGAACTAAGATTAATAAATGCTGAAGAAGTATTTTTCATTCTTAGTTCATGTTAACTAAGTTTGTTAACTAATGAACCTTATTGTACCTTTAAACTCTTTTTTTTTCTTTTTTTTCTTTTCAAGTAAATGTATCTTGATTCAAGAATGTTTTTGATATTTGTACTGAATTGTGATTCACTGTTTGTGACTGTCTTTACTCTCGTTTTTGATCAACTGAATGCTGCTGTAAATGTGTGTATGATGCGGTTTCCTCTGGTGTGTGTGTGTGCTCAGATCAGCTGTGATTCGACTCTGGTGAGTCCATCAGACGTGACTCCGTCGGCCCGTCCCGAGGAAGCTCTGCGCCTCAGTCTGGCAGCGGCTCCTCCCTGGGTCCCGCTGCTGTCCATGGGGCTGTTCGTGAGCGAGGCCCTGGAGAGGAGGCCCGTGGGGCCCTGCGTGATCAGCGCGTACGACCGGCTCTACGTGCAGGTCAGTGCCGTCGCTGAAGGCCAGAGCTGCTGATAGATGGCGCTGGAGTCGATAACAGGGATTAAAGTCACTCAAGGGCCCCAGACGCCTGTCGCCATGCGGAGTTTACAGTCAAGGCCACTGATCGACACGCTCGTGTGTGTGTGTGTGTGTAGCTGAGTTTATATCAGGAAACTCATGTGAAGTCAAATGATACACTCTATAAAATTCTGGGTTGTTTCAACCCATGTTTGGGTTAAATGTGGACAAACCCAAGCGTTGGGTTTAAAAATTGTAGTAAAACATTTAAACCAGCGGTTGGGTTTGTCCATATTTGACCCAAACTTGGATCTTCTGGGAGGTTGCTAGACTTGTTTCTATCTGGTTTTTGCAGTGGTTTGGGGGGTTAAGAGGCATTTGCTATGTGGTTGCTGGGGTGCTCTGGGAGGTTGCTAGGCTGTTGCTATGTGGTTGCTGGGGTGCTCTGGGAGTTTGCTTGGCTGTTGCTATGTGGTTGCTGGGGTGGTCTGGGTGGTTACTAAGCTGTTGCTATGTGGTTGATGGGGTGTTCCGTGTGGTTACTAGGCTGTTGCTATGTGGTTGCTGGGGTGTTCTGGGTGGTACTAGGCTGTTGCTATGTGGTTGCTGGGGTGTTCCGGGTGGTTACTAGGCTGTTGCTATGTGGTTGCTGGGGTGTTCCGGGTGGTACTAGGCTGTTGCTATGTGGTTGCTGGAGTGTTATGAGTGGTTTATAGGGAGCAGTGTTCGATTAACAGTTATCTGTGTGTCTGTCAGATCTCGGTGGCGTCCGGCGCTGCGGAGGCTGTGGAGCTCCAGTCGTGTCTGGTTTCTCCTCTCTCAGACCCGCAGGCTCACAGCGGCTGGTCCATCATTACAGACTCCTGCCCGTCAGACCCGTCCTTCACACTTCCCGACGGAGAAGCCCAGGAACCAACAGACAGCCCAGAGAGCGAGAGCGACGGAGACGAGGAGGACGAGGAGAAGCTCGAGAGGAAGGACGACAGACGGCCGACCCCTCGCCGGAGACACACAGGGGCCCGCGGCGGAGACGACAGGGCCAGGCGGTTTAAAGACAAGAGACCCGACAGAGTCAGAGCCAGGAAGCCTGAGGAGCGCAGGCGGAGGAGGAGGGATGATGAGCGCGAGGGCGCACACACACTGCGCTTCAGTTTCATCCTGCGGCCGGTCTATAATAACTCCATTCAGTTCCTGCACTGCCGGCTGCGTCTGTGTGCGGCGGACGAGGGGCCCTCAGGGGCCGGCGCTCGGGTCTGTGCTCAGGGGCCGCGGATTCCTGCTCTCACACACACGCCTGCTTCTCAACAGGTACTGTTGGTGTCATTACCCAGAGGTCATATTTTTAATAACTGTCAACTATATCTTATATCATACTAGATCAAATATTATGTATAGATCATAATATAGTTCGTATTATATTAATAACTAGATTAAACATTATTATCTGATATATTAAAACATAGCGTGTTTGTAATGAGTTCCAGAAACTTTAAATACCTTGAGTGTAAAGGCTGATTTATACTTCTGCGTCGGACCTACGCCTCTACGCTATAGACTACGCGTTGGTTTTCATTTATACTTAAATTAATTATATTTATACTGCGTCGTCGCGCAATTACACACGCAGAGGGCGCATGTGAGACCCGAGGGAGCGGTTCTGACAGGCCAATCACAGCGCTTGCGTCCGCGTAGAATTGACGCGTTGTTGACGCGTAGGTGCACGTCAGGGTACGCTTAAGGGTACGCGCGCTACACACAGCCTACGACGTAGCTACGGCGGGAGGTCGACGCAGAAGTATAAATTGGGCTTAAAGGTGTATCACATTTATATATATACAGTCAAACCAAAAATTATTCAGACACCAGATACCATTTTTTATATATTTTTACTAGTGGCTACAATAGTTCATTTATGTAAGTGAGGATAGCAAAATAAAGTAAACTGTGACATATTATACCCAAAAACTCTTCATACAGTGGACCATCTGTAAAATTTATAAACATTCGGGACCAAAAATTATTCAGACACTTTGACCGGACCATGTTTTGCTGAAGTGTTTTTTCTTTAACTGCTAATGCACCTTTTTACACACAGACTGAACAGAATGAAGCATTGCTTGATCACTGGTTGAGCTAAACTGGTATTATCTAATTGTGTAGTTAAATTCAACAGCTGACAGATATTCAACATAATTCATCTGTGTTCAGTCTATCAGAAGGACGGACAAAACCAGTGAAATATCAACTGATCTGATAACTCTGAGTTCTTGTCATATTTTATTACCATTTTCTATAAACTATACCGAATAGACTGTGATAATGTGAGAAATGTTGAAGGTGTCTGAATAAATTTTGGGTTTACTGTATATATATATATATATATATACCAAATATATGTCAAATTTACTAAAAGAATGGAATGACACTGGAACCAGAACTATTAAAATCTGTATAATTCTTATCTTTCACCTTTCTCTTACAGTGTGAGGACAGAAATCTGTCTCGGCCCGTATTGGTGACGTATCCTGTGGGGTTTCTGGCTCCCCCTGCTGGTCTGTACACATCAATGCAGCGTTGAACTTCCATTCATACAAATGTTTTGCATTACTAACACTTGTGTTTGTTCTGTGTGTGTGTGTGTGTGTGTGTTTCAGGTAAACTCACTGAGATGTCGAGACAAACTCCCACACACAGCGGTGCGTTACACCTCCTTTATTCTGTTACTTGCACTCTTAAAAATAAGGTTCTGTATTGGCATCTCTCGTTCCATGAAGATCTTTGGATATCCATGGAGTCTTTTTTAAACGCACAAAAGGTTCTTTATATTGGAAAAGGGTTCTTTAGATTTGGAAAAAAAAGAAGGTTCTTTTAAGAACTTTTCACTAATATTTTTTGGGAACCAGAAATCCCAGATAGCAAGCAAGCATCGAAAAACAATGTTAAATCAATATTATTGTGTCAATGTAAACTGCATTGAATCAACATCACTTTGGTCCCCGCAATTATTGTTGAAAATATGTTGAAATTTCAACAAAAAATCAATGGTAATGGTATTGAATCAATGTTACAATGTGATGTTGCTTCAACATCATGCTTGCACTCTCAGAAAATGAAACACAACAACTACAACTGACTTAAAGAAACCAAAATAAATCTCTCAAGATCTCAGCAAACAGCATTACCAGCTTCGCTTATTACTTATCCAGACTGACTTTATTTCTGTCATTCCTCTACAGAAGTTCTTTTTGAGAATTAGCAGAGGTTTAGATGTTGATGTCTTAGTGAAAATATTCACTGGTCGTCATTATGGTGATCAGTGTTTCCTTTAGTTGGTCAGTTTGACTCTTGGTTTTTTATGGGAGTTTATGGTCTTTGTAACAGTGTTTTCCAAAATGCATAATTTGTTGCAAAGGAAGCCAGAAACAAAGATGATCAGGTGATATAGTTTTCATCATCATAATGTAAAATAACTCACTAATCTTATCCCTGACCAAAAGTGGCTATTTGCTATTAATGGATTATATTCACCAACAATACTTTCTTGCAACAGATCAGACTTTCTGAATTTTGATTTTGAAGATACACAGACGTCTCGTGCACTTGTGTTTCACACCGAATGTCTTACGCTGTGGTTTGTGTGCAGGTGCAGAGGAGGGTCCTGTGCTGGCGGTCGTGTTCGCAGCGTTTCTGCTGGGTTTGTTCCTGATGGGGGCGCTGTGGTGCATCTACACTCAGACTGGTACCCTCCCTCACACAAAATGATCGTCTAACGTTTTCCTACATGACGGCTGGCCATTAAAAACACGCTTGTTGGTTGTCACTGTCAGGGAGGCGTGATTTGACCCAGAGAGACGGTATTATAGAGACACCGGGACAGAACACGGCTTCAGAAACACGCCGACACTGATGGAGCAAACCAGCAGTTTCCACCAGGCCAACAAAACCGCCAATGTGAAATAAAGCGCTCTCATGTGATTTCTGCTTTTGTTAACAGCTGAATTTGTGTATCAATGTTCTGGGGAGCTTGTAGCCTAACGGTGGAAACTTGTGTCTGACACGGAATAAAACAATAAAAAAAGGTAATTGTGACTTTTTATCTCACAGTTCTGTTGATAAATAAACTCGGGATTGTGAGGGAAGAGTCAGAATTGAGAGATATAAAAATCGCAATTACCTTTTTATATTTCGTGGCGGAAACAGGTTTCATATGTAGGCGTAATGATTTTACTTGCTGCTTTTGTTTTGCTGCTAAAGTAACACATTATGTGAAACGATCTTGTGCACCTTAAATGTTCTTTATTTAATTTTCACTCCTTTAATTGTTTTTATTGTAGTGTTTTGTAGTCCTTACATATGTTTTTAAGTGTCAGTATTAAAGAAATAATCTCGGGACAGTAAGGGTTGGGAAGGATCTTAATTATCATTTGTACTTGGGCAGTTCTCACTTACAAAACTAAATATAAACTTCTGCTGAGAGCGTGAGAATACAGAAACACCTGAGGTACTGTCACAAAGCTGAAATTTTACAGTTGATGTTCTTATAAGCCTAGTTGCATTACTGTATTTGTTATTAAAAGTCATATCATGGATATCGGGATGATTCTTAATCATTTGAAATCAGAGTTTCCTCATGATTATGACGTCACAACCATGAACACAACATGACACATGAAGAGACAATTATAATAGGTCTTAAAGCTATGTGATGTATATATGTGATGTGAACAAAGTATTCAGACACATTTCACATTGCAACAAAGTGTGCAGTCCGACAGAAGAAACATTTTGTAGGGTACACTGTAAAAAATGATCGTGATTTTAACGGTAAAAGACTGTAAAAATGCTACAGTGCAAAACTGTTAATTGGTTAACAGAAAGTTTCCTTATTATATACGGTAAATAACTGTGATAGATCTAACGGTACATTTAATGTAATTTTACTGTAAAATACCGTTAAATTTACAGTTTTTGAAAGTGAAAAGAACAACTCATTGTATAATTTACAGTGAAAAGACGTAAATTGACATTCCCACAATTCCCTGCATGACACTTCACATTTGATTTATTTTTGTTGAAATAACTATGTTTCTTCTTAGTTTTCTTAGTTCTTTTCTAATCAGTTATGTACATTAGGGTTTTATGTTACATTTAATGTTGTTAAATTAATGTTTATTGCATTTTTAAAATTTCATGTGTGTTACCATGATGGTGTTTAATGTTTGTGCGAATAACACTGTGCAGCTTCAATATAATAGTATTAACTCTCTTATGGAAGATTGCTTGTGATGAGCTTTGATTTATCATATGATTCTCCTCACTGCTGTGATGGTTGTCAGTGTATTACAATGGTACAAAACAGATGTTAATACTTCAATAGGTTGGTAAATTATCATTATATCAGATAATGAATTATGGTTTAATACTGTAAATTTTACTTTAAGACTGTAAAACTAAAAACGTTGATACCGTATTTTTGACGGTAAAGTTCTGGTAACCACAGCTGCCAGTTTTTTTCCGTAAAAACAACGGGATTTTTCTTTACAGTGTACAGCAACATTAGTCTGAACTTTAGCTAAAAAAAATATGACCTCTTCACATTGAGCTAACAATGGATTTTTATATAGCAGGTCTCAGCAATATAATTGTATAGTGTAATTACAATGCATGCAGTTTTTATGAGCTATGTGGAATATTTGTTAATTTAAAATTCATTTATAACACTACACCATTTAAAAAGGAGCAAGCGAAAAAAAAGAAAAAAGAAAAATGGTGAAAACTTCCTGAAAAGATCTGGTTCCCCAGCAAGCAATAGCCGTCATTTCACCGTCTAGGTTTACTATAGACCCGATATGGTCCGGCTATGAGTAACACCTCTAGACAAAATAACCTTGAATTTGGTAAAAGTCGTTTTTGCCAAAATAGTTTGCAATATGTATGATATTCCATCATGTAAGCAAAGTAAACAGTGATTACAAGGTGTTTGGTTTCATTTCTTCACTCATTTAATTTATTTATCTAATTGATGACTAGTCTATTCTTGTGCTATGGTTTGCTGGCTGGGTACCATTACTTTTCTAAGATATAAACTCTCCTATATATATATATATATATATATATATATATATATATATATATATATATATATATATATATATATATATATATATATATATATATATATATATATAAGCTGAATAATCACTCTCGTCAGTCGTCACCTCTTGTTCACAGCGCCTGAAGCTCCAGCGTTTGGCACGAGGGTCCGCAGGCATCAAGGCACTGGGTGTGCAAGATGTGTGTTTCTTCTTTAAGACAAAAGTGCATATATCTTACAACAGTTTGATGTGTTTAGGACTTTTTTAGGATCATGGATGATGACAGTAGTCGCACACAGGACATTTCTCGCATGTGTAATCTTGCAGAACGTCAAGTGAAGCAATGAGACACGGGACACATTAGATTACCTCTTTTGCCCTGTGCATTTGTGCGAGAGTTGCTTTCAGGTGCGGGATGTTTTGGTGTGAAGTAGCCTTTTACACTAGGTGAGAAAACAATTAGCATATTGGTTAGAAAAAAACAATAGAATAGCTTATTGTGGGTTTTTCTATGAGATAAAAAAACACTCACTGCATTCTCCATAGCAAGACGCCCATAATAATGATGAGCACCAGAAAGACAGAGCAGCCGATGATGGTGATGTGAAGTGATGATAGTGAAGTACTCTTTGCTTTGATGGTAAATGTAGAACATGTGTCATCATTTACATCATCGTGATGAATAATGGTTAATTTGTGTTTTTCCACATTTTCTCAATCCCAAAGCTATTTGATTCTTCGCCTACCCAATAATGTGTGTTAAAAAGCCCAACAAGGTTTCTTTGCTCCTCAAGATAAAGTCCTCTTAGGTGTTTATACAGCATTCACTCATAACACTATTGGCCTATTTTTTTATGTATACTCTCACGTAACTGACATTTGACAATGATCCACTCACTTTTTATGGTGAAACTGGCCGTTGAACTCCACTCACTCCAATTGCCTTCAAAGTAATTTACAGGTTTTGCTCTAACACGTGTATAGTAAACACCATCTCCACCAAGTGTGTTCTTGCTGATACTGAAGTACTTATAATTAATAACATCCCTGATGGACTGTAAAGAAAGAAAACAAATGTGTTGTTTATTTTTTAAATGAACTCCAAATGATTCCATCCAAATTTTTAAAAAGTGTAAAAAACGAATTGTTGGGAGAAACACCTTGTTTGTATGTTTGTCCCCCCAGATTTCCACTTGAAAGGCAGGGTTGGTAACATATTCATGACTGTGTTCAGACCATATGATAACTTCTTCTATGTCGTTCATATATGTGGCAAGCTTTATCTCAGGAGCTGGGATTTTGACTGCTAGGACAAAGACAGATTAGATGGACAATGTTTTTGATGGATGGATGGATGCATGGATGGATGGATGGATAGATAGACTTGCCGATTTTCCTCAGGTCGATGTCTTTTTTAATAACCTTGTCTCCTATATTTACTTGGAGCTTGTATGTATTCGAAATCCCCAAATTCTCAAAAGTAAAGTCTTGTGGTCCTAAAGTAGCATGTTCACAACGTTTTATTTCAATAATTGGGCTAAACAGGAAAGAAAAAAACCTGTTATCTCCTGTTCAACATCAGTGCTTAGAGCAAACATTGATTCACATTACAATCAAACAAAAATTTATTTATTTTTTACATTTTTAAATATTCAGTTACTGATATATATTCCACATCCATTTATAGTAAATGCGTCTAATGAAATACCAGAGTATTGCGATTTTGACCTCCTCTTTGGGTTCATCATTTAGCGAACAGGTGAGGTTATTCTGCTTGAAGGTCAAAGTGGATGTGCAGGTCACTTCTTTCTCAGGCCAATCTGAAATGAATTCAAAGGAGAAAAACATAAACCTACATTTTCTATATTATAGTTATATTTTTTGTTGTTGGTGTTTATTTTATGAATAAAATTATTAAAATTAATATTTTTATGGAGTAATATAAGTTTTATAAAAGCAATAAGCCCCTTGAAGCCATTATTTAAAGTGAATTTAGAACAGCTAAGGAGCGTTGTGAGGCACCGCGCAGATTGATGATTGCTTTAATCATCACCAATACATGACCAACATGACCATGCAATTATCTAGCAATTTTTTGCCATAACAAATGTGTATCAGAAACACACAGTTAAAGCATAAAACAAGAAAGAAAAAGGAAAACAAATGTAAGTGTCAAAAGCCCAACTAAAGCAAATACTGATCACCATAATGGTGACTACAAACATTTTTTTTTTCAATAAGACATCTAAAACTTCTAAACCTCTCAAAGTCAAACTGTATTGTAATAAGCGAAGATGCTGTGAAGATGAAGATCCTGAGAGATCTGTTATAGTGTTTAATGTTCAGTTGCTCCTAGTCGTTTAAATTAATTCCGTTTTTTTTTTTTTTTTTTTGCCATTTATATTTTATATTCGTTTTTTTTTTTTTTTGGCAGCCGCACTGAGGAAGGAGATAACTATCCCTGAATTAATGTTTGAATTTGGATCTGTTCCTCTGATAACTTATAACTTCATATAACTTGATAACTGAGTGAATTCAACAGCAAGCAGTTCAATCAAGCAAATCAAAGCTGGATCCACAAACAACAGCTTCTTTGCTGCTTTTTTAAAATAAATTCAACTGCATTAGATAGATTATCATAAATATTTACATACCAATTTTAAATCTCACTCTACAACAGTTCCTCATACATTTGTATGAGGAACTGTTGTAGAGTGAGATTTAAAATTGGTATGCAAATATTTCAACACATCCCGTGATGTAAATCACATCCCGAAAATTTGGATTATTAGGCTACTACAATTATGACCCATGATAAACAAAATAAATTATTGCATTTGAAATTAATCTTTGAGATTAACAGATGAAACGTTATAATTTCAAATGAAGTAAATTGTAAATCAGTCAAAGTCAACTGCATTGAAGCCACTTAATCGGCTCAAGTTCTCAATCCTGATTTGGATTTCTGGCTGACAATATTCATGTCATTACCGACAGTGACAGGAGAACAGCAGTGCCCGTTTGAGAACAAATCTTGATTAGTCAAAAAGTGGAGGGACAATGACCCTGGCAAAAACATGACCCACACCCAAATGACTCGTACAGTCTCAAATAACTTACCATAATCTCCAGATTCTCCACTCTCAGACAGAACCAAAGGACAGAAAACAACAAAAAGCATCCATAAAACACCCGCCATGTCTCAGCAGCTGAGAGATGGTTACAATTATAGGGTTGCAGAGTTGTTTCGAGAACAGATTAGGCTATGGAAGAAGTAAAGTTACAGTGGAAGTGAGACTGACTGAAAATGTCGGGAGGGGAAGTTTTTCTCCAAAATATGCTTCGTCAGAAGAAAATAAACAAATAACATAAAATAATATTTCAACCGACCAGGGGCGGCGATAGGGGTGGGCTAAAGGGGCGGGAGCCCCGAATGTTTTCAGTAAAGCCTTGTACGCTTCCTCACTGAGTTTTCATTCAAATTATTTATATTAGAACCGCAGATTTGCTCTCTCTCACATCTACAACTTTTCGTGTCAGGGCAACAATTCAATAAACAAGATAATAAAAAAAGAAATGTTTCGCTAACAAAAATGGTTCCAAACGAAGCATGTTGCTGGTTGTTGTGAGTCTCTTTTTTTTTACAGTCTATGGTCTCTGCAGCAACACACAGGTTCTCTGAGTAAGTCTGTAGGTGGCGCTGTAGGTCCATTCTCCTCTGGAAGCTGAGTGAGCAGTGCGGGCAGCTAAACGGCTGGAGGCTGCTGTGTGTGATCAGATTAGAGCTCTGACTGAACGCTTTACCGCACACACGAGGCTTCTCACCTGAGAGATCACACACACACACTAGCACACTTTATAGCATCTGATTGCATTTTCTTTTGCTGTTATCAACATAACAATAAGATGCAACTGAGCAGAGAAAAACTAATGTTAAAAAATCAAGAGACCAACTAAAGCACATACTGATCACCATAATGGTGACATCAAACCAAACTATTATTTTCAATAAATCATCAACATCTTAACCTCTGTTAATTCTCAATAAGAACTTCTGTAGACTTCTACCAGAAATAAAGTCAACCTGGTTAGTAATAAGTGAAGCTGGTAATGCTGTTTGTGGAGTTGTTTAATCAGATCTTGAGAGATTTTCTGTATTTTATCTTCAGTTGATTTCATCTAAGGCTGTGTCTGGAAGTAGCTCTTGTGTTTCTCTTTCCTTCAGTGATTCTGCTTGATCAATAATGCTCAATCATTATTCAATCAATCGGGGGGTCTGGTAAGCCTTACATTATGGAAACAAAATGTCCCCACAAAGTAACCTACCCAAAATCCTTGGCGGAACATTTTTTGGTCCCCATAATAAATCATATTAAGTGATGTTTTTTTGAAAAACTGCAGAAAGTTGTGTGATGGGTATGTTTAGGGGTAGATTTAGTGTAAGAGGACAGAATATGCAGTTTGTACAGTATAAAAATCATTCGACATAAAGTCCCCATAAAACATGAAAAACAACATTTCATTTGAAATCGGTGATTTTAATTTAAAAATGTCCTCATGAATCCCCATGATTATGACGTCACAACCACGAACACACCACATGACACATGAAGAGCCCATTATAACAGGTCTTAAAGCTATACAGTATGTGATGTGAACGAATTATTCAGACTCATTTCACAATGCAACAACATGTGCAGTTACACAAAAGCAAATGTTTTGTAGGCTACAACAACATTAGACAGAGAACTTTAGCAACTAAAAAAACATGACCCCCTACACCAGGTGTGTGTGTGTGTGTGCTGCTCAGCTCCCGTGATACAGTCCGCTGTGGTTCTCTGAGTGAGTCTGTAGGTGGCGCTGTAGGTCCATTCTCCTCTGGAAGCTGAGTGAGCAGTGCGGGCAGCTGAACGGCTGGAAGCTGCTGTGTTTTCTGCAGTGTGTGATCAGATTAGAGCTCTGACTGAACGCTTTACCGCACACCACACACACATGAGGCTTCTCACCTGAGAGATCACACACACACACACACACACACACACACACACACACACACACACACACAGATTAGCTCTGCCTTACTGTCTACTTTCTACACATGCAGCTAATTGCTAACATCCATGACGTAACCAGACGCGATGAGATAAGATCCAGCCAGCGACAAGAAATATGTATGTCTACAACAGATGCAACAAAATATTTAAAAGAAAATTGCAGCCAATCAGAAGTGAGTGTGGGCGGGGCCTCTCTGCAACTAAATAAATAGGTAATAAAATATATAATTATTACATCGTTTTAACATTATTACTGAGTGTCTGAAACGATATCTGTCGTAGAATACACTTGTTTGTGAACATTGAACATTTTCGAGATGAGTTAGGTGAGTTTTCCATTGTGGCGTTCAGTAGGTCACACAAAATGATATTCAAACTCACAAAATATATTCTTATGAGCATTAAGTAAAGCACACAATCATACCTTTAGATAATTGTTGTAGCCTGCCTACGTCATATGTTGTTATTGTTGTTGTGGTTTCAGTGCGACGTCGCAGAAATACCCGTTTCTAAAATAAAATAGTCGCGCGTATCGAGAAAACTGATGAAAAATGCCCTTTATCGTATCGCTGCGTCGCGTCTGGTTGGGACATGGTGTAAACAATATTCGGTTAAAAAGAAAATATCATTAGCTTAGAGTAAAAACATTAGAAAGCTCATTATGTGTGTATTTTACCAGTGTGTATGAAGGTGTGTTTCTTCATGTCAGATTTCTGGTGGAATCTCTTCCCGCAGAAGGGACAGGGGAACGGCCGCGTGTCCGAGTGTATGAGCAGGTGTGTGGACAGAGTCGACGACCTCTTGAACACCTTCCCACAAACCTTACAGCCAAAACTCCTCTCCTGAAACACACACACACGCGCTCACATTCTGCTCTTTATGTTTATTTATGCAGTATACGGTATTAAAAATAAATAGCTAGCTTATTATTTTTTATTTCAGAGATGATAACCAGATGCCACTCACTGAATTAAACGCATACTAAATCATGTACTTTAAACAAAATAGTATGTAGTATATATTTTCATATTAAATTTAGTTAAAACTTTATTAATTTTGTTGTGTTTTTGGCATTTTTATTAGTTTTTGTTACTTAAATTTAGCCTATGTATACATGTATATATACACTACTTCATTTTGTGTTTATATATTCAATTCAATTCACCTTTATTTATATAGCGCTTTTTACAATACAGATTGTATCAAAGCGCTTCACAGTGATAACATGAAAACAATATAACAAAAACAATATAACAATATAACAAAGTTTGTTTCTAAAAGAAAATTGCGTCAACGTCCACCTAAGTAAGGCAGATCAATAATATTATTGAATATTAAATGTCCCCAACAAAGCAAGCCAAAAGCCAAGGCAACAGTGTCAAGTATATATATTTTAGTATATATATATATATATATATACTAAAACACAAAATGAAGTAGTATGTATATGTATTTTGTGTTTCAGTTTTAGCTCCACAAAATGAATGACATATGTTTCCTGGGTAACTAGCTGAAGTAAAATAAGTTTTAAAATAAGTTTCTGTAGGACTTCTTCTCACCCTGAGGATTCCTGGATGTCTGTACCCATAGTGCTGCTGGGCGTGGCTCGTGGAGCCGGCCAATGGGAGAGCAGCCCTGTTGACATGTGACTTGCACAAGCGAGATGTCAAACCGACAGCAGAGGAAAGGACCTACAGAAGACATAGTAATAGTAATATTAATACATCACATATCATCAGTGATGGAAATGGCATTGATCAAAAACACACATCAGAACAATGCGACTCAATCTCATGTGTTCATATGCAAATCCCATTTGAGGTTTGAAACGTGTATGTGCACATGAAATGTTTAAAAACCACACAAAAACCCACATGTGATGTAAGTAAATGTGTGAAAATCATGTCAGGTGATCAGATCAAGACTATCTCAAGGGTAATTGGGTACATTTTTTGGGTACATTTATTTGACGACGATGTTTTTCCTTTGCGTTTTTGACAAGTTTCGCGTACAGACGACAACGTTGTCAAACCGAATATTCATGCCAGGCCAGTAGATGGCGATGTCACTTTGTACAGAAACACTAAGCACCTGCATTTTTATTTTTTTATTTTTATTTTTTTATTGATTTTAAAGAATTACAACTTCAGTTGAGTAAACAAAACAAAAAAAATACATATATAAAGAAACAGTGACAAACTTAAAAGTTAAATAAAAATGTGAAAATGTTTACAAATTGAAACACACTTTGCAGCTTTCTTATTTTTTAAACACAAAGTTGTGTTTAGGTATTGTTGAACTTTTAATCTTAAAATAAATTAAAAATACAGGCTTATTTCCTCCAAATGTACATATATGAATACTAAATTTAGCTAAAAGAAGTAGCAGATTACTACGCACCTACATAGACCGAACACCTACACAAGCGCATGACATCACCGTTTTCACAAATTTCACATTTTTTGATAACGGTGTCGTTTTCAAAAAGGTACACTTTGAAACCTGTTTTTTTTTTTTTTTAAGTTTGCGTTTTCAGGCCCCCAAAACGCCATTGCTGTGTAACTGAACGGCCAAAACACATAAAAAGTAAAATACAAAAACGTGAATTTGTGAAAGCGATGACGTCATGCGCATGCATATTACATGCTCAGTCTACAGGTGCGTAGTGTTTCTTTATAAAGATAGATCGCCATCTACTGGCCTGGCAGAATACAGCGCTTTTACTCGTTTTCACAGGTCCGTGTGAACGGGATCGTTTTGACAACGTTGTCGCCTGTACGCAAAACTTCTCAAACACGCAAAGGGAAAAAAAATCAGTTTTAGGGGCTGTTTACACGACACCGTTTTCAACCAATACATAAAAACTATTTATGCGTTTTGACTGTTAATTTAAACGACAACGGCGTTTTAGGTGCTTAAAAACGCAAAGTTTTGAAAACAGGTTTCAAAGTGCAAGTTTTGAACACGGTCTTCGTGTAAACAACAAAAAAGTGAATCTCTGAAGACGATGACGTCATCCACATGCGTATTACGTGTTAAGTGTATAGTGTTTCATCGCCATCTAGTGGCCTGGCAGCAGAATACAGCATTTTTAGTCGTTTTCGCGGATCCGTGTGACAATCTTTTTGACAATGGTGTCGTCTGTATGCGGGAAACATATTTTAAAGTTTTAAGCATATTGTTGTCGTGTAAACGTACCCTTAGTAGAACATTGGCATGTAAACGTTCCCGGAATAGATTAGTGCTCTGCTGACGAGCTGATGATTTCCATCAGGTGTGTAAAAATAAAGGACACACACACACACACGTGCAGGACCAGGACTGAGTTCCTCACCTTCGCACAGAGCGGACACTCGCACAGCGGCGTCTGGACGTTGGTCGTCGGATGGTGACAGAGTAAAGCCTGAATCAGACGCTCAAGATCGCTCGGTCTCTCCACAGCAGCAGAAGACAACGACAGGTCCGGCGAATAAACACCAGGCTGGTTCCCTGCCATCACACACACTACAGAACAGAAGATGTGTTTTCTTCTCAGTGTGCAATCATGATGAATTAAAATAAAACAATGTTACTATCCAGGTGATGGGTGCTTTCGAAACACTGCTTCTTGAAGCCTCAAAACTTTTAGAAATCTGCTTTTAATCAGTGTTTCAGAGCTTGCTTTACACTCGCCAAGTCACGGGATTTCAGCAAACAAGGCTTCGTTACGTCATTTGGTCCGAACCTTGGTTTGCCAAGCCCCGCCTTATAACAGACAAAACAAGCACTACATAATAATAATAATAATAATAATAATAACAATAATAATGTTACAGAACTATCATATTTAATTGCATGACATTTAATAGATTACTTTCATGAAAATGTGCAATTGTTTGAAAGAGGTGAGATTATACATGTGTTTGTTGCATTTACACTGTTTTGACCAGCAGGTGGCGCCAGCCTGTGGTGTTTAGAGCGCTTGGAAACAATAGTTCAATTAATCCAGTTTCCAAAAGCTTGGTTTCTCCCGTTTCCCGAACTCTCGCGCAGTATTAGACAAGGATTTTATCATTTCTGCAGTGCATTCATTGAATCACTCACTCAGTCGTCTTCCCTATTAAAGTAACACTAAGTAGTTTTTCAACCTTCATAATATATTTCCAAGACCCTTGTGGTACATCGACTTAAAATAAGTTAAATGACACGTCTGCCATAGCCTGACGTGGTCTGTATCGCTTTTACTGGCACTATGTAACTTCGGGTTTCGGGTAGGAACCCGTGCACAAAAAGAACTACAAAATTCGACTGCTTTACGGCATACGTCACTTCCCCCACCACTTCCTCAACTTGTCTGTGGCTATTGCAGACATCCCAAGTCTACCGGGAGTCTCCCGCATAATGATAGCATCTCCCTGATGCCCGAAAATTAGTTCAAATCTCCCGGAATCTAGAGCGCGCATGCGAGACAAAACATACTGCGCGCACAACATACATAGCGCGAGGACGGCAGAGAGGGAGAGAGCGAGAGACCTTGCGAGTGTGCCTCACGAAAGCTAGTCAACCCGCCACCCGTCGCCCCCCGTCAACAATCCAGTCACCAAGATATACCTCCCTGAAATGACTTCTTGCAGGTTGGGATGTCTGCCATTGTTGATTCCAAAGCCGGTGCTGGATAAACAGCGAGCGTGCGCGTGCGACAGTAGGCTGCGGTAGCCTAAATTATTTAGGACAGCGGTAATGGACAATTCCGCTTCCAACCTGTAGGGCGACCGCAGAGGAAAAAATCCTTGGTGTTACTTTAATTCTCTCCGCAAAGCATTATGGGAAATGTTTTCTTAAAGATGAACAGCATAATATCAAGTCGTCACGCTGAGACATGGTGTAATTATTCCCAATAGAAAAGAATATTAGTGATAAGGTATTTAATTCGGCTAATGAAAACAAGATCATAATGACTCATCCAAGTTGTCATGATTGTATCAATTCATGGGAGTCATTTATGGGAGATTTGTTTCATGATAAGTACCATGAGCTGCGAGTGCTCATGTTCTCATGATTAACAGTTGTAATTCAGACACTATTTTCATTATGAGTGTCTTTAGGTGTGATGAGAAACTCCCACAATGCAAGTGTTTCATATCGTTGCCTATTGCAGTCACTGCTGGTGTGTGTCTGGTGTGTGTGTACCTGGTGTGTGTTCAGCTCCATCAGTGCTGTTATCGGTCCAGCACACGGGCGGCCGGCTGCTGTCGGGGGAGGAGGAGCCGGGCAGCAGCTCCAGAGCCTGTGATTGGTCAGGACGCTGAGAGTGGGCGGAGCGAGTGGAGTGATGCCCCGCCCTCTTGCTTTTCACTAAAAACGATCGAGGCATTTCATCAGTGGGAATGAATCCACGACGGCAAGGTCTGATTACAATCTGAAATGAAAGCACAACAAATCCTAAATGTTTTCTTATTATGAATACATTATTAATAAGTTAATTAGTTCAATATAAGATAGTTATACTGAAACAGACTGTGCATTGCATTATTTCCCTGTTATTACTGTAAAGCTGCTTTAAAACAATCTGTATCGTAAAAAGTGCTATATAAATAAAGGTAAATATATAAGAGTCTATATATATAATATAATATATAATATTTTATAATATTATAATATAATATAGGCTTAGTATACATTTATTCATAATATAATATAATAATTAGCATCAGTATTTTTTGTATTGTTATATTGTCAAAAAGTAAATGAAGGTAAATACTTTAAAATAATCATTGGAAAAATAATATTAAACATATTATAATATACATTTATTAAAAATATGATGTATTAATTAATAGCAGTACTGTTATTTTGATTAATTCTCCACATCAGAAGATAAATGAACCAATAAATGAAGGTAAATACTATAAAAAATATAGTATAATATAATACATATAAAAATGTTAATATATGAATATAAATGATCCTTATCTAGAAGGTATCATAAAAAACAAAATACTTTTTTTTACATATAATATAATAATTAGTATTGTTATGTTGCTTAATCATCCACATCATAAAATATAAAACATATTGATATACTATATGGATATCTAGAAATTATAATATATAATGGAGACAAAAATATGTAAAGATAAATATGAATATATAGAAATTATCATAATGAACAATCTAAAACACATTCAGTATCAGTATGGTTATTTTGCTTAATTCTCCAAATCATAGATAAATGATCCAATAAATGAAAGTAAATACTATATGTATTGATACTTATATATTATTTATAATAAAGTATGATTATTTAGAAACTGTCAGAATATAATATATACATTTATTCATATATAATAATTAGTATCAGCATATCATTTTGGTAAATTCTCCAAATAAACAGTAAACATGAACCAATAAATCCTGAATTATTGTGAGAATATGAACATAGATCCTGATATAGACGTACGGCTTGTATGTGAAGCTAGTGTTGCTGTGACAGGTATAATCTAGTGAACCAGATTGAGTGTTCGGTGTGTGTGTGTGTGTGTGTGTGTGGTTGCTGTGTTGCAGCTGTTATAGAGTGAGTTCAGTTGAAGACCACAGAATCTGAGGTTTAGAGACGCGAAACACCTGCGCCGGCTCGCTCACCTGCAGCTCAATATCATACACTTTATGACTTACTGAAACCCCTCCATACAACTTATTAAACTTACATCTCATTAATACCTCAAACTCACCTTTAGTGCCTTAGTGTTTAAATGCATTCATTTAATCTTACCAACTAAGCAAAATTATATTCAAAAGAAATGATGTCTAAAAGACGTCTTTTCAAGGTCTTTGTCACAAAAGTCGTATTTTGAAAAGACGTCCACTGAGGAGCCAGAATGAACGTTTTTATGACGTCTCTTTTAGACGTGTTCTGCACGTCTGATATAGACGTTCAAGGTTAAAAACTAGCTCAAATGTGGACATATTTTCCACATCATTTAAGGTCTCATTCAGACAATTTATACTGTTTCTGGACCAAATAAACACTCTCGGGATGCATTAAATTAAAACTCACGTTTATTTCAATGTAATTTCCATCTGTAATTGCAAAGCAACTCACAGACAGTTTGTGTTTGTCCAAAAATCATGAACATAAAGAAAACCACGGACCCCTCATGACAAAAAAATATATATTATATGATATGATTTATGATAAAACTATACTAAACTAAACCAATAAGCACATATTAAAAGTTGTTTTTGATGCACTAACCCAGTGGTCTTCACTATTGTTGTCACGAGAGCCGCACTGATAGGACAAAGTCAGTAAAAGAGCCATTTTTACCGCAAAGTATAAAAAAGTTACATCCAGTCATAAATACCATGTCTGCATATCAATCTGTCATCCCTGAATGTGCAATATGCAATGCAATAAATAAAGGGTGGGGAAAAAAAACATTCTTCATGATTTACCAGTCAAATTTGTAACTGAGACAATAGATTTCCCTTAACAATGACAAAAAAGAAGGATTTCCAGAATATATTCATCCCAGAATGACCTTAAGTTATTTTTTTTCTATATTAGCCCATCATAGCCTACTGTCCCTCCAAGAGCACATTCTCGTTAGAGCTGGAAATGTTTACATGCACAACTTTTGTTTCAATCGGACTGAATTCATTCCGACTGATGAATCTGAATGTATTGTAGTTTACATGAACGCTAAACATCGTGATGTGAAACATGATCCGGTTAATGTGCGCGTTTACAAGTCAAAAGATTCAAATCGGAATCGTTTTTTTTTTTTTTTTTTGACATGCGCACACTGCAAAATATAAACAGTTTTCCGCTGTTGTCGCTGAATAACCATTCTCCTACATTGGTTTTTTATTTTTTTTTAAACAGCAGACTTAATATTTATCCAATTCTGGTAATAATTTGGAGACTATGAACATATGAACCGTTGTGCCGCGCTGTTTGTATTGATCACGCAGTAAAAATGCCCCAAAGTCGTCTGTGGATGAGTCTGAAACCAGGACTGGTGGGACGTTGTCCTGCTCCACTTCACAGACACAGTGAAAGGAGGATTAGCCTATAGAGTGACGGGACACTCATTTATATGACACTTTATTCATCAGGAGAACAGCTCGTTCAGCGTGTCATACGTCGTCCTTTCAGTTTCGGTTTTGAATCGATCAAGTGTTTACATATTCTCTCGATACACCCCCCCCTTTCAATCCGATCGAAATGATTTGTAATAAAGCTGAAGCTTTGCGTTTTTATTGTGTTATGTTATAGCCCTGCTGTTTTTAATGTTTTTAATGAAATATCTGTAGTGACTGCATGATCATCACATCACCGTATTATTTACCGCCATGCGAGCCACAAATTAAAGACTAATGCATGCGACGCCTTCCGTATTAACCGCAAACAACGAGAACGACAAGAGTATATAAAATAATAAACATGTCTTTATGTTGTTTCTACAATAATTTGGAGATTAACTGTGAAATTATTACATTATAAAATATATTAAAAACGTATAAAAACGTGTTTTTTTAATTGCGATTAATCACGGTTAATCACAGAAAAAAACGTGATTAATCTAGTTCATTTTTTTTAATCGATTGACAGCACCAACTAAAAGTTGCTTTTTATGCACTAATGCATGTGACACCTTGAGCATTAATTGCAAATCTCTTCTTGATTTTAAAGAGATTTTAAAATTCACTTTAAAATCAAAAGAATTTAGATGAGCAACCATGTTAAATTTCTTTTGGTCTTTCTGTGAGTATTTAGCTGTGTGTCGGTGTCAGACTCACCGGCCGGGGCGATGATGAAGACGTGTCTGCTTGATTGAGTTGTGATTCAGTTGTGAAGCTTCTCCAGACTCGGGCGGGAGGAACGGTCTCACAGGAAGTGTGAACGTTTTCTGATGTGTCCTCACAAGACTTCAAATCAGGACGCCTGGTAAATCTGCTCGTTCTGCATCACGGCCATCCAGGATAAAAGAGCAGAATGTGCCAATCCATGTCAAATTCATACGGCATCATAACTGAGCGAGTCTCATGATGTAGTTGGAGATGTTCTCTGTTATATTTCAAAGTATCAGAAGTTTCTCCAAAAATTCCTCAGGAGAATTAAACCCGACTCAAACAAGCCACTAAGAGTCTACAGCTGTAAAAATGAGTGTGAAGAGAAGCTCAGATCATTTCAAATTGACTTTTCAAGAGATGTTCTTTCTAAGTTTTGTTGTCTTGTTTTTTTTTGTTGAAACGTCCTTAGATGCACTCTTAAAAATAAAGGTTCAAAAAGGTGGTTTTCACAGCGATGCCATGGAAGAACCATTTTTTGGTTCCTAAAAGAACCATTTTTTCTTATTGTGAAGAACATTTACGTAAAAATCTAAAGAATTTTGTTCCACTGTAAATAACCTTTTGTGGAATGGAAAGATTCCATGTATACTGTAAAGGTTCTTTATGGAACCTTCAATGCCACTAAAGAACCTTTATTTTCCAGAGTGTACATTTACATGAGATGCAACATGACCGATTATAAGAAAATACTATCAAAATTGAATGCTTAAAATGTGAAAAAATATCCACCAAGTCGGATCAAAAAGAAAGAAAACTTGTTATCCCTTTGAATTAAGTTTCTTTTTCTGACCCCACTAGCAGATATTTCTTCTGGTTTTGAGCATAAACTCATGTTGATCATTTTTTTAGAAAACAAGACTTCTTATTTTGTCATTTTACACCTCAAGTAAATGCATCTTGATTATAGGATGTTAAAACATGCAAACAAGACCAAAAAAAAAAAGCACTTGTTGCAGTTAGTATGAGTGCAAACCTGATCTGAGACACGTTTATTTTACAGCTCTTAACTATTGTCTAAAAAAAATGCTGAGTTGTTTCAACCCAAATTTGGTTCAAATATGGACAAACCCAGCCGTTGGGTTAAATTTTTAATTTACATTTTTAACCACACGTTTGAGTTTGTCCATATTTGACCCAAAATTGGGTTAAAACAACCCAGCATGTTTTAGAGTGTAGCCTATTTGGTCATTTTGAGGAAAAAACAAACATCTGATACTAAAACACCATTGAGATGAAAGACTAACCTCTGTTAACCGTGTTCTTCTGGGAGATCATTTGACTTCATACGAGCTTCAACTGCTCCATGTACTTATATGACCGATCAGATGATAAAAACACACTGAATATTTAGCAGCTGCGAGAGACGCTGGGTTAAAGAAACGTTCATGAGACCACAGAGACGTGAAACGCTGCGCCCACAACGACCCACTGTGTGATTTGGTTTGTGATTTCAGTGTGTACAGCTGAGGGACATTACCCAGCATGCCGAGGGACAAAGCCATTGTAGTTTTACTATTT